CTCTCTCCTCTCAAGTTCATTCATTTCTTTCTGCAATTGGATGGCATTGTACTTTTCAGTGGATGTGTATCTCGCAATTCGCCAGGGTCATAACACTGCAGGCTTTTGACCCTGCTTCCCGTTACTGCTGCTGCGCTTCACTTTTGCGTCTCTTTGGTTTTTGTTTTTGGTTTTTAACTTTTTATCCCTCTTTTGCTTCTGCTCCTTGATTTACTTTGTGCTTTATTGAAGCTTGGATATATCATTAACTAGCTGTCATGTTTGGATTGCAGTGGTGGTGGTTGTTTGTGGTTGTGGTGGTTGCCTCCACTTGGTTGCATTGTGCACTCGTCAGCATCTGACATACTCATGTCAGGCCTTGTGAAGGGGTTGCAGCTGGTGGCCGGGGCCATTCGTGAGAATGGCCTCATGGGGGCACTGAAGAAGGCGAAGGATCAGGGAATGCTTGGTGTGCTTCTCGATGGAAATATGTTCAACACAAAGACACGCTTCGGCGGTAAGCTGATGGGCACCGACAAGGATGGAAACAAGTACTATGAGAAGATTTCGGACACACAGTTCGGTCGCCACCGGTGGGTGGAATATTCCTCACCCATGTACAATGCATCCACTGTCCCACCAGAGTGGCATGGGTGGCTTCATCATATAACTGACCAGACGCCTGACCAGATTGCTTCTAAGGCTCATTATGCAGAAGACCATAAGCCAAACCTGACAGGACAAGGAGATGAAGTCATCTATCACCCGAAGGGTCATGCAATGCATCCGAACAGACGCACATGGTCGAAGTATGAGCCTTGGCAACCAAGTCAGGGCAGTCTTTGAAGGAACGGGAAAGGAGGAGGGAGGAAAGGGGAAAGGAGAAGGAAGTGGGATGGGAGGGAGAAGAGAAGTGGTGGTTAATTGCTTGCACAGGTGGCACATGCACTGGCAAGCACTATAGGGTAGTCAATGAAAGAGCCGAGAACAGAAAAAATGATGTGAGGGGAGGGCAAAGGAGAGGGAAGGGGCGGAAAGATAGATGGAGGGGAGGGAAAAGAGAGGGAGAAGGTAGGAGGGTGGCGGATTGTTCCAAAATGCACGCCCTGGGCAGCACTGAAGTGCACTCTTTGAAAGAGGGGCGATAGGATGTGGGAGGGAAAAGTGAGAGAAGTAGAAAAGGAGGATGGTTCATTGTTTCCGCACCTCCTCCATGCCCTGAAAGCGAAGGTAGGGCGGTCCTTGAAGGAGGGGGGGGGGGGGAGGAGAAGGGAGAGCAAGGGAAGTGGAAGACAGGAGGGGTTGGGGGGGAGAGGGAGAGGGGGGGATGTTGGAGAGGAAGGAAGGAGGGTGGTTGATTGTTTCCACAAGTGCTGCGAGAATGGTGGCCCCAGGAGGAAGGGAGAAAGGGTGGATTCCCGGCTTCCCTAAAGAGTTTGATGCTAGAGGAAAAGGAGGTGGGTGTTTCCAGAAACGTCATTTGAGCAAGGGAAAAAGGGTTTTGAGGTGGTTATTGTTGTAGAAAGGGCAACGGTGAGGGAGTTTCTGTCATGGAAAGTGATGGTTACAGTAAGGGAGAAAGGTTGCGTTCTGACTCTTCTGTCAAATGGTGGTGAGACAAATGGAGAGGAAGGTTGAGGTGTGCACCTCTTGCGAAACTCGTAAGAGGAACGAGGTAATGGTCTTACTCGTGGCAATGGAGATCAGAGCATCGGAGGCCAACGTGGTACCGACTGCAATATGTGGGAATAGAGGTCAGAGAGGGAGGAGTGAAATCAAGGCGGTGCTTCACTCCCCTCTCAGTGGAAACTGTCATGAGGGAATGGGTAATCCTAGTGAGCAAGTTAAAGCGGTGCATTTGGCCTGGTCTTCAGTCTGATACATGGCTCAGGTAGTAGGCCCCTCAGTGAGGGGCGTGTGTGTATGTGTTGACGTTAGTAGGGCCCCCGGATAGCAGTATGAGGCCGAGGACATATGTCGCAGTCCATGTCTATATTCATGATTCCATTATTCATTGTAATTGCATGGGTTCGTGCTGTTGCTGTGCATGACCCTGGCCGTGCATGACTACTCTCTCCATAGCCCTCGCTATCCTGTCATATCCCATCATTTCTCTATCACCACTGGATCCCCGATGTTGTCCCAATCCTGGTCTCGACCAATCCCATTTTCCCTATCTCAACCCTGTTCCAGACCAATCATGATCCCAATCCTGACCAATCGCTATCCATTCTTGTCCTCACCATTGCAAATTTCATCAGATTAGATAGCACTGTGAGTGCTCTTCTCAAAGCCCCACCTCCTGTGTCATATCCCACATCTCTCTCTCTCTCTCTCTCTCTCTCTCTCTCTCTCTCTCTCTCTCTCTCTCTCTCTCTCTCTCTCTCTCTCTCTCTCTCTCTCTCTC